CCCACTGGACGATGGCAACTGACATTTCAAATGTTTTTGCTCTCCGAGAGTGAAACCGTCAGGTGGTTATCCGTTTTTGCGTTTGCCTCGCACAGGCTTCGCTGCAGGGAATCGTCAACAACCCAGTTTTTTTGCAAAAAAATGCCCCTTTTGCATGTGATTTCGCCCAGGTTACTTGTTTTACTGCGTGCGTTGGCTGGCCGGAGGACTTACATATGAATAAAAATTGAATCTTCGGAGACACCAGCCTCCCCACATAAAGATCACACATGTCGCCTCGCCTTAGTCCTTCCGGCAAACGGCTGTCGAGTCAACCCCAGGATGCTATCGTTTCAACGGGGATCGATATAAGGGGGGAGGGGGCTGGTTTTATCATACAGCCCATGCACCCCGCCAGGTGTTAATCCTTGTGCAGCAGTGGCAGTCGCCCAGTCTGTGGAAAGGGAGACGTACATTCGTGTACACAGGTGAGTATGACGAAAGATCCGAAATCAGTACCGTAATATCAAATTTACACTGGAAAATTCACACTGGAAATTCACACTGCACTAAGCTGCCTCCGGCCAGATGTAGTTATGAGGCCCCACCTGAAGTTAACAAACCCCAGCCATCAGTAATACGGGATCAGTGATAAAAGGGGTTTTTACAGGTGGGGTCTGAGAACGCACAGGCGACGAGCTCAAGTAGTTGTATGCAAAAGAAAAGCTATTGGAAATGCACGGTTGTACTTTGAGGGGTTGAGAAATAGTTGCCCTAACCCCTTACCCTAACATCTAACCCTAGCCCTTTATCATAACCCCTAACCCCTAGCCCCGACCCCAACAGTATTGTATCCGATACAAGCGAAGATGCGAGTTCCAGGAACTAGTTGATCAGAAGGAGAAGCGATCGCTGGAACAAGGTAATTATTCGCCTGACGTTTCGGATCCTCATTTGAATCCATCATCAGAATCCATCATCATCTGCTACTGTCTCTGATGATGAATTCAAGTGAGAATCCGAAACGTCAGGCGAATAAAGACCTTGTTCCAGCGATCGCTTCTCCTTCTGATCAGTATTGTATTCATCTTACCCTGCCTTTCCTGGACGTCCTTTTGGTTAGACAAGAACATGGTACAATCTGCCGACCGGTTTTTCTCAAGAATATGCACAAAGGCCGAGAGTTGATTGAAGCCTGGCTCTTGAATGATAAATTTATCGATCTAGCTCCGCCTGCGCAGTCATTTCCAATCCTGCGTCCTCAGCCGATGATTGGCCAGCACCCTCCTCCCATAACTGTCGCTCGTTCTGTTGCCGCTAATATCTCTGACAAGGAACTCTTACAGGAGTTCGTAAGCTCAGAACGATAAACAAACCTTTCCGGTGCTCGGCTAGTCTTCTTTACTTAAAGGCAAGTATTTAAATTTCATGAAATTTGTACCAATACAACGGAAGAATAACTTCGACAACAGTCTCTTCCAAAGAACGAGAGGCATTTACTCTATTAAAGCACCTGACGCAGAAATTGCCTGTCTTGAAGCAACCTTGCTTAAGCGTAGCTTCCCAGCATTTTTCGTCCAGAAAGCACAGCGGCACCTTGCGGGCAAATCTGATGAAACAAACCGTTCTGAAACAGCCCTTTATAATAAACTTACCCTTTAAACGTGAAAATATTTTAACTACAATCAAGCGGCGTTTATGATGCAGGTCTGAAAGTACTTACAATGCAGTCAAACTCATGTTCAGCAGTCCTACTAGGGCAATTCCAATTTTAAGGACAAACAGTCATTTGCCGTTGCACGCCAACTCGAATTTTATTTATGAATTTACATTCACCGGTGCACATACGTAAAGGCAACTGGCAGCCAGGTCATTTGAGAAACCAACCATTGACAAGGATACGGCCGAAAACCTGCCGAGGTCGCGAGAAGGTTCACTTCAGAACTTTTTTCTGGGTCGGTCACTGGCAACGAAGTTTGGAGCATGATCCAAAAAAGTTGGCAGCAGGCACTGTTCAGAATTTACCGAGGGGTGACAGATCATGTACCTCAACTGACAGTGTGAATGTTCATGATGTTATGCTTTTAAATACACTGCTCTCTAATCTCCTGTAGAAACCGTACTCGGTAAAAATGACTACTTAAATAGCATCCATTTTCCCATTGATTTTCGATGGTCTTGCAAATTCAAATATATTTTTATTGAAACTACCAATAAAATATGCTTTCTTTCAGTCTTTTAATTGAGAATCACGCCATCTTTCTATTTTATACTCGAAAAAGGAGTCTAATTAGGTTTTAAAAAGCTTCTAAATATGAGATTTTTTAAGACCACGCAATGTCCATTCACATAGCATCGTACCTGGCCGTTTACCAGAGCTCCTAATGAAATGAGCAACATAGTCCGCATTAATTGCAAAATTTCATGGACTCTGTATGATATCTTTTTAATGGCAAATAAAAATATGTAATTTTCTTTGAGCGGAACGCATGCACCTTGTAGACTGAAATCGCTAAACGCTAATGCAACGAATGAGCAGGCTCCAAATTATTCGGCAATCGGAAAACTTTTAAGGGCCTAATTATACTCCTTCCTTGGGTATAAAATATAAAGGTAACCTAATTCTCTATTAATTGACTGAGAAAAAAACATATTTTTGTTTATGGTTTTTATAAGATATGTTTAAATTTGCAAGACCATCGAAAAACAATGGGAAAAATGCATGCTATTTAAGTAGTCATTTTTACCGAGTACGGTTTCTACAGGAGATTGAAAAGCAGTGTATTCAAAATCTGACATCCTACCGAGTCCGAAATGTTATAAGAGTATGCCGCGAGATAATATGTATTACAACCGCGCCCAAGTAATCCTTCCTTATCGAAAACGCATTTCAAAATTTCAGCCAACATTTCATGAGATCGGTCAATCACTGTAGTTAAAGGCAACTAGCAGCCAGGCGATTTAAGAAATCATAGTGGTAATTATTTACACGGGATACGGTCGAAAGCCTGCTGAGGTCGCGAGGAGGTTAATTTCCGAACTTTTTTCTAGGTCAATCAGTGACAACGAGGTTCGGAGCGTGAAACAAAAAAGTTGACATCAAGCACCGTTCAGGATTTACCTAGGGGTGGCAGATCATGCACCTCAACTGACAGTGTGAGTACTCATGATGTAATGCAAAAAACGCACAGCAGTCCTAAAGGAGGCCTTCGGCAGTTTGCCTGATACGGTAACACCAACAGTCTCGTCCTCAGAATACAAAAGAAAGACCTTTCAAGGGCATACCGTCCAACTGTGGGGGATTCCGTACAATGATGTAGGCAGACGAGTGGAATTCTATCCTCGTGCTTTTCATCTGTGGGCCAGGGTCAGGGGTCCCAACTTCACAGGTGAGTTCATATTGCGTCTACTTAAAATGATTAAGTAGCCTCATATTTGGGGTAACCAACTTCTCCTTATTTTATTTTTTAAGGTTCATTATACGATAAAAGGGGAATTCGCCTAAAATCGCGTACAAATTTCAGTTTATGTCAGCAGACCACTTTTCCAGATTTTTTGAAGAGTAATTAGTCGAGTAGCTGCACTCACGAATAAACTCCCCAGCTACCAGCATATATAAATATCTGAAAATCAGGTGGTACCGACGGAGACAAGGGAGACTGGAGTGGCCATTTCTGGCTTATTAGCCGTCGCCAGCCAGTCATACCCAACCCCGAAGAGTGGAGCACCTGGAGCTTGAACTCGCGACTTGTTAGTTAGAAGTCCAACGCCTCTAACCACTGAGCCAGGGGCTCGTTGTCTTGTCGGTTGAAATCGGGAATGTACAATGGTAGAGGGGTGCACACCGATCGTTTCTACGGAACTCACTCGTTCCGTTGTGCCCTACGGGCTCTCTCTCGACCCCATTCAGAAGCCACACAGCGGCGCATGATGACAGTTCGACCATCGGTTTCGATGATGTCCACCGTGTGCCCCACAGTTGCAGCAGCAATGGGAGCAGGGACGGTGACTTACGCAGGGGTTTATAGTGCCGGTAGACTTGCGTAGCATCTACCTACACTCTCTCCTCCTCCCTCGCCCGAGCCCGGTGTCAAGACAGTGTCAAGAAGACCGGAGACGAGAGAGGCCGCAGGTGGATGGCTCGGACGGATCCTCACCTTGGCGTTCCACCACACCCCCTGGTCCACACAACAAATAACCAGAATTTCAACCAACACAAGAGAGATTTGGAGGCTGGCACGGCCGAAGCCGCACCTGGGCGTGCCGCTAACGCCTGGCTCGGATCCCACACTGTGATGGGAGTGCCATAAAGGCCACATTAAAAAGGAGCCATTGCAGCCTGACTCTCAGACCGCCTCCAGTAATGGAGGAGGTCCAAGGTACCCCGTCAGTTGGCAACCTTCCAAGCCACGGCTTTTAGCGCACCGTGATAGCTTCAAGCGCGTCAGATTGTTTATAGTGAGGAGGAAGTGCGCTGAGTCGTCGACCTCACTCTCCCTTCCCACTCCCACACCCCAGCCGCTGTCCGAGCCGGTCAGTAGACTGGAGTGGGGAATGGGCGCGGTGGCTGTCATGGTTGAATGGCCATGACTGCGCGCGCCACGGCACGACCTGGCCCCCCATACACACAACACCAGGATTTCACACAACGGGGGTTGAACGGCGTGTCTCTCACTTGCGTGAGAGAGCCGTGGAAGGTGCAGCTTCAGCTCGTCCCCAGCCAACCAGTCCGCCACTCCACACAACACACACACACACAACGCGACGAACTGCGTGAACCGAGAGCGGGCCTCAATCAGCAACCTTCCTATCCACGACGCTTGACGTGTCGGGATAGACTCGGACTCAAGTCACCCGTGCAGCCGAAGCCGCATGGGGACCGAGTCGAGATGCGGCCTTCCCACTTGCGTGGGAGGTGGCAGTTGGATGCATGAGGTGTGTGAGTGTTGATTTCTGGTGGGGTGATGGTGGTGGTGGAGGAGGTAGGGAGTGAGTGAATGTGTGGTGTGGCCGGCGGTTGTCTACCGCAGGTCGTCGTGGATGCGCATGTGGCCGAATAGGCTCATGCGATGCCTGAAAGTGCGAGGAGGGTGTGGGCAGTTGAGACGAGTTTGGTGGGTATAGGTGGGTGCTCCAGGCACTGGTTCGCCAGTCCCTGTGCGATGGATTCGCAAGTGACCGACCAGGCCGATGCGTGAGGTGAATGTGCGTGGACAGTGTGGGCATGAGAAGTCTACGGTGTCAGTGTCAGCTACAGAGGAGGCGGTGGTGGTGGTGGTGGTGGTGTCGCGGACGGATGGAACGAGAGTGGGGGTTTGCACGGTGGATGTGTTGGATGTGGTGGGTGTGTCGGGAGTGCGGGCAAGACCGCTCTCGTGGATGCGCATGTGGCCGAAAAGGCCCATGCGATGCCTGAAGATGCGAGGGCAGTGTGGGCAGTGGAGGCGAGTACGGTGGGTGTAGATTGGTGCTTCGCGCACTGGTTCGCCAGTCTCTGTGCGATGGATTCGCAAGTGACCGACCAGGCCGATGTGTGAGGTGAAGGTACGGTCGCAGTGAGGGCAGGTGTAGTCCTGATCCTCATCCCTGGAGTCGGGGGAGGTGGTGGTAGTGTCGGTTGCTGTGCGTGGGACAGTCGCCTGAGCGGCCGCCGTTGGAGCAGGGGGCGAGGAGGAGGAGGAGAATGATGGAAGTGGTGGGTCAGAAGAATTGTCAGGGTTCGTTGGCGGCGGAGAGGAGGAGGAGGAAGAGGCAGGCGGGGGGACGATGGTTGGTGCCGTTCGAGAGGCGCAGTTAATCCGAAGATGTCCAACAAGTCCGATTCGAGCCCGGAATGTCCGTTGACACCGAGGACACGTTGGAAGGGGTTGTGCGGCGGCGTTGCTTACTGGGCGAAGTTGTGATTTGCGGGCTTCACGTTTCGCTTTGTCGGCAGCGATGCGGTTGGCTTCGTAGATCGCAGCGCCTGTCTTCACTGTTCTCCTCCAGGTCGGTCGATCGAGTGCGAGCTCCTCCCAGTTGGTGGGGTTGATTTGCAGGCATTTCAGGGAGGACTTCAGGGTATCCTTGTATCGACGAATTGGGCCTCCTTGACGGCGAGAACCCGTCGCGACGTCTCCGTAGAAGAGTCGTTTGGGTAGTCGCTCGTCGTCCATGCGCACAAGGTGGCCGCTCCAGCGCAGCTGAATTTGCCTCAGAATGGCGTAGATGCTGAGGATTCCCGTCCGTTCCAGCACATCAGTGTCGGGGATTCGATCCTGCCAGTTCAGCCTCAGGATGCGACGAAGACAACTGAGGTGGAAGTGGTTCAGACGACGTGCCTGCTTTGCGTACACCGTCCAAGTCTCCGCTCCATACAGTAGCATCGGCAGGATGACGGCCTTGTACATCTTCAGCTTCGTGCTCAGTTGAAGACCGTGGCGATTCCAAACTGTGCTTTGGAGGCGACCGAAGGCTTGACTGGCTTTCGAGATCCTGTTGGCGACTTCGTCGTCGATCTTGGTGTTGCGGGAGAGAGTACTGCCCAGGTATGGGAAGTTCTCCACCACTTGCAGTTGGGTCCCATTCACGCTGATTTGCGGCGGCGCGTTGGGGGCTGTGGCCGAGTTGGGTGGCGGTTGGTGCATCACCACCGTCTTCTGTGTGTTGATGACCAGACCGAAGTTCTCGCAGGCGGCGGAGAACAGGTCCATCAGCATGGCAGAGAACATAAGACTGAAGAGGGTTGATGCCAGTACGCAGCCTTGCTTCACTCCATTGGTCACTGCGAATGCCTCTGAGACAGCTCCGTTGTCCGTGACTCGCGCCATCATACCGTCGTGCAGCTGACGCACCATCTGAGTGAACCGCTCCGGACAGCCGAATTTCTGCATGATCTTCCACAGTCCTTCCCGATTCACCGTGTCGAAGGCTTTCGTCAGGTCCACGAAGGTAGAGTACAGGTGGGTCCGCATCTCCTGACACTTCTCCTGAAGTTGGCGGGCTGCGAAGATCATATCCGTGGTCCCACGATGACGACGGAAGCCGCATTGGC